CAGTCCACTGCAGGAGCTCATCATTGGACCACCAAAGTCAGCTAATAGACTAGGGGACTCAATCCCTGTTTATGAATTTCATGTTCTTCCTCAGAGACAGAAAAAAAATCATGGTCCTTTAGACCATGATGCAACCATGATTCTATGGTGCATAGAGCTAATCTCTCGTACATGTACACACTTCACCCTCATTGGTGAATATCAATATAGCTATCTATGTACATATCATGTGATGATATAAGAATGATGTTTTTAGCCCTATCTCTAAAGGCTATTCATCATACATAAGGGCTACACAATCCCTCGGCTCTCATCTGGGCATACTCCGACCTCATCAAGGGCTAACCCACGAAACTCATTTCAGTAGATCCCGATACCCAGGTATCTGGGGTTTTTCCAAACTTGATTGCCCTAGCACGTGGAGCTTAGTCCGAGTATCAGCAAATCACATTTGCCTAGTACGGTTCACATGAGGACCACACTCCTACTGAGTTTATGTTTCACTATATAAAATGCTCATACAAGGTCTCATAAGGCCACATAAACTCAACATATCCTCCCCTCCTCCCTTAAAAGGAACAACCTGTCGTCTTGTTACAAATTTCTTTTTCTTCATGGCCAAAAGCATATGGAAGTTGGAGTAAAAAAACTCTTTCGATAAGTGCTTGAAGGAATTGTGCGTTTGGGCCCATTCAACCGTAGTCTTGAGAATAGAAGCAACAATGATCAAGGAATACTAGATGACTCTTCTCGAAAAAAAAAAAAAAAATTATCTTTTTAACACCTAGATTTCACCGTTTAAAACTTGGATGGTTTCTATTCTATCTAGAGATTTTTTTTCTTTTTTAAGCACATAGAGAATGCAATCGAGTATGGGTGGACTCGGACCCAAACCCCAATATTATTCACGTCCAAAATTTGTCCACGTAACCAGACCTATTGTGTCTCAGATCGAATCATCAGGTCCTGGGTTTGATCGGATTTACCACCCTATGCCAATGAGCTTTTGTTTTTGTTTTTCTTTTTTTTGTCCATTTTTTTTTACACTCATATACCCTATAATTATGAGCTTCTTTGTTTTTGCCAATAATATTGTAAATGTTGTCAATGCCAATATGAACACCTACCCCGCACTTAAAGACACGTGATTAACATCATATTCCTTATAGCTACTGGTTCAGGTCAGGTCCAGATGGACCTAGACCTGGACATGAATAGTATTCGGGTCTAAAGTTTGGACCCATACCCAAACCCAAGGTCGGGTATACCCATCGGGTCCTGAGTCTAGTTGCGTCCATTGCCACCCCTAGTTGAAGAGGTTGTATTCCCAAAATTCGGGATCGTAAATCATTTCTAGGTGGAGTATATTATCTTCTTCTTCTTTTTTTTTTTTTTTTTTGACAATTACAATGGAGAAATTATGAATAAAAAAGGCATGGGAAAGAAATGAGAACAAGGACATTATCTTTCAACGTTAAATATTTTGCCCAGTCTAACTCAAGACTGCATTTTTTATGAATATTTTTAAATTAAGTTAACATACAGATAAAGTGTTAAACTTCTTTTTTTTTTTTTAATGGATAATTTGATAGATTTCGTAGCTTAAAAATGTGCTTTAAAGGAAACTACATGGCTTGATACCCATGAATTTGATTTGGTCCAATAGGAATTCAAAGTCTTAATTCAAACTTCAGTCTCACCAACTTGCACCAAGTGCGGTGGTTAATTAGTAAACAAAATAATCATACGACTCTCGCTTTTAAAAAATATAACATTAGTGATATAAATAACATGTGGGAAAATTGAAGCTCTCCTTTATTGACCTGCTCATCTCCATAGAAATATATGAACCATAATCAAGGAATTTAAAAATACATAATCCGATTTGACTGGTTTCATTAATTTATTTAAATTAATGTTCTTAACCTTTGCCTGGAATGACGATATTCATTTTAACATAATTTTCCAAAGTCATTATTGTTTTACCATACAAGTCCGAATGTCACTTGAAATTAACAAAAAAAAAGAAAAAGAAAAAAACAACAAAACAAAAATATCAAATGATAGTTGAGAGTTGAGACTATTGAATTGCCAAAAGATTACCAAAAAAAAATGTAGTTTTGTTGACCTTCTTGTGCAAAAAGCGAACGGTATTATAGGGGTGGTAATAGGCTGGGTCGCTCCTGGCCCTAGTCCCATAATACTGGCCCAGCCAGGCCCTAACAGGCCAAAACTGTCCTGGCCCAAGCCCTATTAAAGTAAGGCCGGGCCAAGTAAAAATCTAAAACAAAAAAGAAGAAGAAGAGAACAGAGAAAACGAAGCCCAGGCCTCACCAAGCCCAGCTCTCGAGCCCGTTGTTGCTTGGTCCGAGGGCAATATTTCCTGGCCTAGAGCCAAGTTTTTTAGGTCCGGGCTAACTAATCCGGGCCGGGCCACCGGGTCCATTGCTACCCCTAGTGGACAAGATGCAACATTTCGAGCTTTGTTTGCCCGTGTTTGACATAGCACGAGGTATCTTTAGAAACGAATTAAGATTCATTTGCCGATAATTTAAATACAAGTTGAACTTCAGGAGGCCGCTTCATGAAAAGTCGAGTTTTCTTACCGTTCAACTCTGACACTCAAATTTAAGTGCGAAACCTATGCCGCTGCCACGCCTCACTTTCTCTCTCTAAATTGCCACTCTCCTCTCTTTCTGAGTCTTACTTTTGGTCCGCTCTGACGCGTGTCGCGAACGACGTGTCTTCGAATATGCCATTATTTAACTAATAAAATTTTAAAATAAATCATCAACGATGCCAATTCCATCCTGCTCCCTTCCCAAACTAATTTGCACTCCAATTCCTAGCCTCTCACCTCACTTTAAAATTTAAATTTGAAAAAATGATGTAATTGTTTGTTTCAGTTTCGGTTATTATTAAAATATAGAATATTTTTCGTTTTTAATGATATATCCGTTTTTAGATTTCATAACAATTTTTAGACTTCATAAAAAAAAAAAAACTATACATTTTAGGTTTTTCAAAAAGGGAAATAAAGCCAATTTCGGTTTTTAAAAAACCAAAAATTTTACATTTTTTATTTTTTAAGAATCGAAAATTTTAAATTTTTGATTTTTCAAAAACTAAAAATTTTTAATTTTTAATTTTTCAATAATCCAAAATTTTTCTCTTTTGTATGTCCTTTGTGTACTCTCTCTACCTTTCTCTCTAAACGCCATATATGAAAATATCTATAAAATTTGTCTGCGCCATATATGAAAATATCTATAAAATTTGTCTGCACTTCTTCTAAGAGCATCAGCAAGTTTGTTTAGGATACCAACCAAGCCCTCAGCATGATCCTTTCTTTGGTTTCGGTCAAGCTCACGGTTCAAATTCTGAGCTTCGAGCTGAGCTGTTAAGACTCTGATGTTCCTCTCAAGTAGTTGGAGTAATTGGTCCCTTAAGAGGATAATCACTGCCCTCTTTCTTCGCCTGAAACTCGCCTGCGCTTATGCTGACGTTGAGACGAACACCCTTTCTCAGGATTAGCAGCCGATTGCTTCTGGGATACTTGCAAAGTGGCTCTTATTAGAACAGTACTGGAATCTCTCTCTCCCTGTCATCTCTCTCTCTTTCTCTCAAACCACAAACCAAATAATTGATTCTCAAATCACAAAAGGCCATCAAAACACCATGAAAGTCTTATGATCACATAGATGTGTTTTGTGAGGCAACACAGCGGAAACTATTACATCAGATAGCTACAAAGAGAGAGATTTTCAGAGATGCCTCGAGAGAAAGAGAGGGGGAGAGAGGTAGAGAAAGAATGTGCAGAGGATCCACAAGAGAGCAAAATTTTTAGTTATTGAAAAATCGAAAATTTAGAAGTTTCGGTTCATCAAAAAACCAAAATTGGCCTGATTTAAGTTTCTGAAAAACTGAAAAAAAGTAATTTCGTATTTTTTTAAAAAATTTTGTTATGAAGTCCAAAAATGGACATATCATAAATAGCAAAAAATATTTGGTATTTTGATAAAAACATAAACTAAAATGGATATTTACGTAATTTTTCGTTTATATTTTTATCCAAATTAATTCCTCTCCCTTTGGCTCTCTCTCCATTCTTCTATGTGAAATTAAAAGCTTGGAAAACCAAGATTTATAGATTATATGTGAAATTAAACGTTAGGAAAACCAAAATAATACATATATTTACCATATAAATCTTTTGGAACATTTTCTCTTTCACATTATATAGGGGGAGAGTTCGTGGAAATGACTGCCCCGACTGCCCAAAGAGACCATTTATTTTTTGTACAAAGATACCACTATCACTTTTAGCCATTGAAGTTGAAGTCGAGAGAGGGTTCGTAGAAATGACTACCCCGATATAGATTTTTTAATTTTTTTTATAATTTCTGGTTTAGTAGACCGGATCACCAATCCAGATCACCGATCTGTCGAACCATATCGGAAATCCAAAAAGGAGATCCAGGTCACTGGTCTGTTTTCTAAAGTCTCGCACAAACCCTAAAAAAGAGAGGAGAAATTGTGGCTATCCAAAGAACGCTCAAACAAGAACATTTTCAAACACTTTAAACATGCTCAATTTTGCATATTTTGTTTCAAATTGTGAAAAAGAGATCCGAAATGGTTGCTGCCTCTGTAGAGAGAGTGGGCAAACAATGTTACAGTTAAATGGAGAGAGGGCAAATCATGGTCAAAGAGAGGGGAAATCCAAATTACACATATCTGATAAGAAGTGCAATAGATTCAGGCTTAGCTTGATAATTAAATTTTCATCAGAAGTGCATTAGATTCAGGCTTAGCTTGCTAATTAAATTTTCATTCAATTTCATCAATGAAATATGACAAGGAGAACAAAAAAAAAAAAATTTCATTCAATTTCATCAATGAAATATAACAAAGAGAACAAAAAAAAAAAAATTTCATTCAATTTCATCAATGAAATATAACAAAGAGAACAAAAAAAGAAAAGGGATAGAGATAAAAGAGAAGACGAACTCCTCATCTATCAATGAATGGGTCAGTCAATTAAACACTAAGAAAATAATTTCTTTTGAGAGAGAAAGGAATTGTGATCTGCTCTTCCCAGTAAATGAAGTGAGTGATGAATTGCTCTCAGCTTTTATGAGGAAATCAAGAGACAGAGAGAGAGGAACCAGACTCAGTTCTTCCAAGCATAAAGCAAGAGAGAGAAACCCCTGTTAACCTCCTCTTCCACTCCCACCCACTCTAAAACTGAAGAGCTCGAACACGAGCTGGACGATCCTGAACCTGAACTTGATCCGCCGGACGCGGAACCTGTCTTCAACAATCTCTTCTCTCTCCCCTTAACCCCAAGCCCACTAGGAGGCCAAACCACCGAGCCGACATCCGACCCGTCGGCCCTAAACATGAACACGGCATGGCCATTCTCGCACCCACCAAAGAACCAGTCGAAAACATCCCAATATACCCCAACCTTCACACCTTCCAATTCTATCTCCTGGTTTCCCCTAAACTTCCAGGCCAATTCGCGAACATGCACAACCACACGATCGTCGATTCTAACGCACAATTCAGAGCCCCAACTTATGGCAATCTCGTGGGTGCGACCTCCAGTGAGGGCGGCTCGTGCGGTGCAGAGCCGCGTCCCAAAAACGTGTTCCCTTCGGGCCACCAAGCACGGCAGAGTTGATATGGGCTTAGCAACTGTGACGGCAAGTGCATCGCCGATCCGATCACCGAGAAGGAGAACTATATCATCAAGATATTTCAGGGCAATGTAGAACCCTCTGTCTGGCTCGGCTGAGTTAGGAGGGTAGTGAGCACGAGTTAAATCCCAAAACAAGTGGGTTGATTTGCTGGATCTTGTATTCTGATTGAAGAGGGAGAGAGATTTGGATGTTTTCGCGCCGCCGCCGCCGCCGCCGCCGCTGTTTGTGTGATTAAAGAGGGAGAGGGACTTGGAGCCTTTGCGCTTGCGCCAGAAGAGGAGAGGGGTGGAGTGGTGGAGAGTGGTGGAGATGTTAGAGAGTGATATGGTGAACGAGTGGCCCAAGGTAGTCCGGCACCAGGTCACCGCAACAGAGCCGAGGTGATGGGTGTGGTAGAGGCATGTGGTTAGGTTCTGGATAGGTTTTTGGGTGTCTGGTTCAGCTGCACCATCAGCTCCGCGCTCGGCCCCGGCATTGAAGCAGGAAGGAAGGGCGTCGTGCATGATAGACACAAGGGTAGGAGGCCTGTGTGAGGTTTGGGTAGACTTTCTCGTCTCTGTGTTGATCTCACTCAATATCAAATGTTGGATGAGAGAGACAAGGGAATTAATAGACAATTAAGAGAGAGAGAGGCTTCTTCTGTGTGGGTAAACAGAGATTGACATAGTTAAGAGCCTCTCTCCCTGTGCTTGCTCAAAAAAAAAAGTCTCTCACTGTATTAATTCAGATGGACAGGGGTTTAGAGAGAGAGAGAAAGGGGGATTTAGAGAGAGAGAGAGGAGTGTTGTGGGGCTTGGTGTGTTGGGTGATTGCGTGGGGAAATGAGTTGTAAAGGGGGTGCGGGGAAAGAAACGGTCTAAGGCCACGCCGTCTGCAACACGGCCAAGCCACAGGCGGTCCTCTCTCTAATCTCCTCTTTCTCTCTTTAGGACCAGCACAACGTTTCTCTCTCTTAGAGATTCAGTTTCGTGTAGCACGTGCCTCTATATCTATCGATCAGTATTCAAGCCGTCCGTTTAGAACTTTCCCGCAGTTATGATGTTATTCGAACACGTGCACCGTCTATTTCTCTCTCGGAATGGTCTCCTTCTCGACTCTCCCATTGAGACCACCTGATCTCGAAAATGGGCCCGACATGGATCGGTTTGGTGCCCTTCAATGGCCTCTTTGGGCAACATTTTAATTTTAGGCTCGTGGTTTGGGTGGGGAACAGGCAGGAGTAGCCCCAGCCCTAGCCCGGTCCTAGTCCCCATAGGGCCGGCCCAACCCCGCCCCACTCTTGACCATATAGCTGGCCCAGCTAAATAAAATAAAACAAAAGTTAAGAGAAAAAATAAAGAAAAAGGGGGCCTAGCCTGAACGAATCACACCAGCCATGGCCGAAGCCCATTCCAGCCTTACCCTCAGGCCGTAGTTGCTCAGCCGTCACGAAAAATATACCTCAAGCCTTAGTATTTTAGGGCTGGGCTAGTTGGTCTTGCCGGGCCATTGCCACCTCTACTCATAGGCCTAAAAGATAGGACTCTGATTATATGACTTTTCAATTTAACAAGGTTCAAATTGGTCGGGCCAATCCAACAAGCCTTGAAAGCTTGGGCCACTTCATGGAACCCATTAGGCCTGGCGGAGACTTAATACGAGCAGTCAGTTTAATGGAGTGGGCCAAAGAACATATGGTCTTTCCCAAGATAGTCTCTTTCCTGATTCTCCCAATGAGCCCACCTGGTCTCTCATATGGGCCTGACACGGATCGTGTTGGTGCCCTTCAACGGCCTTGTTGGGCAGCACTTTAATTTAAGGCTCGTGGGTAGGGTGGGGAACAGGCTGGGCTAGCTCCAGTCCTAGCCCGACCCTAGTCCCCATAGGGCCGGTCTAGTCGTGACCATAGTGCCAGCTTGGCTAAATAAAATAATACTAAAGTTAAAAGAAAAAATAGAGAAAAAGTGGGTCCAAGCCGAACCAGACCAGTCATGGCCTAAGCCCAGCGCCTCTCAACCCTCAGACCGTAGTTGGTAAGTCCTCAAGACAAAATATACCACAAGCCTTACTAATTGGTCCCGGATGGGCGATTACAAGCTCTTCTCGTGGGCATAAAAGATAGGACTCTTATTATATGACTTTTCAATTTAACAAGGTTCAAATTGGTCGGGCCAATTCAACGAGCCTTGAATGTCTGAGCCAATTCATGGAGCCCATTAGGCCTGGCTGAGACTTAATACGAGCAGGCAGTTTAACGGAGCGGGTGAAAGAACATATGGTCATCTTTTTAGTATGGTTGATTACTTTTTCCTTGACCCTATTGACTTCATTTAACCCGTGTGCTGCATTCCGAGTTTCCAATTCAAGGTTTGAAGCTGACTCCATTGTGCCGCAAAGTCCAGGTGTAATCGGCTTAGATTCGTTGAATCCAAATAAGAATCGGCTGATTCTCGCTAAAACTCTAGCGATACGGCATGTCGGTGCGGGACACTCGGTTAAGTTGACCCCCCAACCCAAACGGCCGACCCCACTCAGGTCTGGGGCTCGACCTACTTACTAAACCTAGTTAAGGTCCATTTGACATGGATTTGAACAAGGTTGAATCAATGTTCGCAAAATCGAGCAATCTAACTGCTAACCACTCGGTTAGATCGGAATGGGCGGTTTTGGTTATCAACAGGTATTTAAAAAAAATCCAAAAAATGTAAATTTCCAAAAATAGAGAATTTGTTTTGTAATGAATTTTTTATTACTTTTTACATTATGGTAAAAATTTAAAATTATTTTGGTCATTAATACTCACTTTTATATTTGGGATTGTATACAATGAGACCATTTACTTTTTATACAAGGTGGTCGCAGCTCTTTACAACCATTTGATGTGAAATTTGATAGGTGGATGTACGGCAAAGATCGAAAAAATTTCTTTTGAAGTTTGAGCTTGGTCAATAGAATAATTGTAGCAACCCAATTTTACATTCAATAGTCAAGATTACTGTGATCACCTTGTATCAAAAATAAATGGTCTCAATCAATACTTTTCTTTTATATTTTTTCGTCTTTTTCAATTTTTTTAAAAAATACTCCTTAAGTACAAATCAATTAATAAAAATTTATTTTTTCATTAATTTTCAACTTCATTTGAATGTATTTTGTTTTAATCATTCTTTATATGAAAATTGTTTCATGCGGGGCTGGACCGCATATATATGCTATCCAAAAACTGTAAAGGATCCATCTCAAAGATGGATGCAAGTAGGTGTTCCATCTAAAAACACTGGAAACTAATGGTCAAAATATTTTTATACTAAAATTATTATTTCTAACTTTTAAAATTTACTTATTTTTTCATATTCATGATCTCCAGGTTAGATATTACATGTCCTTAAAAATTAAGTCCAAATATCCATCACAAAATAAATTTATTAATAGGCCCACATTTCTACATTGCGAGCTTGGCTGCATAGAAACCAGGTCCTTCTTTATATGTTTTTCATATGTTAGTAGATTTTTTTAATCTTTTTTATTTTTTTCAACAATTTTTTGACCGCCCTGGACTTGCCTAGTTAGAGTAGTTGAATCGGCCGGTTTCCCTATTAGGCCGATTAAACCACTTCTGTACCCATGTCCAGCTGACCATTCCGGTTTGATTTTGCGAGCACTGGGTTGAATTCAATGACGGGTCTTTCAAAGACCTTTTCAGGTTCGGTTTTATATATGGAAATGGGTGCGGTTTGTATAAGGCCAAGGCTCTAAATAATCAAAATAACGCCACCTGCAAATAGTATCGAGAAATGTGGTTTCAATATTGGAAATCTTTGTAATAGTCTTAAACTCTATTTTCATCTCTGACTATAAAATTTAAAGCTTAAAAAATGGAGAAAGTTTATATAAGGTTGCAACCTTAAAATGTAGAAATAAAGATGCACCTCAAAAATTCATTGGAGAAAAGTGTTTTAATATTGGAAAATCCTCTAATTGACTATCTCAATATCAAGATGTATGAACATGAAAAAAATAAAGCTTGAGTCCATAAATAGTGCATCTTACAACACAATATCTAGATTGTCTATTTTCAAGATTTTCATATATTTATAGATCTACTTGATTTTAACCGTTTTTGGAGTTTAAAATTTTATAGTTAGAGAAACAAATAGATTTTTAGATAATCCTAATATTTTTTTACATCAAAATTACATGCTATGATTGAACTTGGTGCTATACCCTAATTAGATTGTTTAAGGCTGTGTAACCTTATAGAAACCACACCCTTCAAATATAGTGTAGATCGAGCAGATTTATGAAAACTTGAAAATATTGAAAATTGATGATCGAAAAATGCATTAGAAGATGTACTATTTTCAAAACTTGAAATTTATTTTTTCTCATTTCCATACATCTTGAGGTCGAGATGACCAATTTGAGGATATTTGGGCGTCAAAACAACCTCTTCTAGTAAAATTTTTATAGTGCAACCTAATTTGATTGATTAGAGCCTTGCACTTATATAAACGTTTTCTTTATTAAAATAGAATGAAACCGCACTTCTAGAAAACCATGTTTGTGGTGTTTGTATGATTCCGAAATTTTCTATGCACTCTCTTGTCATCTTAACAATCAATCTAAAAAGAATAAAATTTGATTTATACCCTATATATAGTCAAAATAAGTCCCCTCCAAAAATGAATCTAGAATGCCCATTTGGTAAATTTCAAGATCTAGGCCTTTATGAATTCAAAATTAATTTTTTCTTTTTTAACGTTGTTAATCTAATGTTCATAAAGTTATAAAAAAATATGGAAAGAAAAAAGATCCTTCGAATGCCTAGATCTAAATATCTCACAAAAATGGATAGCCTACATTAATTGGCCTAAAAAGCACTTTCTATTTTACGTTTTCAATTTTTTTTTTTTTTGTGATTGTTCATTAGAATGAAAAGAGTGTATATTTCAAATTTTGGGTCAAACAAATGCCCCTGACATGGTTTTTGAAGATTGTTTCATTATATTACTATACAATTGTTGCATGAAATC